GTACTGGGATCTGAATCTAGGGTTTCACGCACACTACACAAGTATTGTGCCAGCTGAGCTCCAGCCCAAGAAATAGGTTTAACACATGTTTAAATAACTGCTGTGCGCCTTAAGACAGAATCAGGCATTTTCTTTTCAAACAAGGAAGCCAGGAAGATGACTCAGAAGGTGAAGTCAGTTGCTGCCAACTCTGATGACCGGAGTTCAATCTCTGGACAAGAGCTGTGCCCTGACCTATATTCTCTCTCTCTCATACACACACACACTCACACACTCACACACTCACACAGCATCAGTGTATGCCACCGCATGCTGCTGTGACTGCACGACTTTCTGTGAGAGCCTAATTGATCACGTGACTTTGGGATCCGCAGGAAGAGCTGGAGGCAACCCCCTGAAGATGTGGAGGGTGACTCCACTAGGCTCTTCCGTGTCCCCGGAGTGTGGCCCAGTGCCGAGCACAGCTTCGCAGCTCAGCGAGTAGCTGCTGAACGGATGGGAAGAGGAAAGCACTCACATAGCTGACGTGTGTGTAACAAGAGAGAAAGTGCATCGGGGCAGGGGCGGGGAGATGACTCAGAGGGCGGGAGTGCTTACTGAGCAAGCCTGGGTAGGTGAGTTCGATTCCCAGAACCGGTGTGAGAAGTTGAATGTGTATATGTGTGCATGGAGGTGGGGTGGGAGGAACTCTGGGGTTTGCTGGCTGCCCGCTTAGCTTCAGTTGTGTTAAGAGGCTTCTTCCGGGTGGGAGAGATGGCTCAGTGGCTAAGAGCACTTAGGAAAAAAAATCTCTTTAAAAGAGAGATGACCTCAAACAAACAAGGTATCAAGTGGTAGACCAGGACCTTTGACACCCTCCTCGGCCTCTGTGAGCCCGCACATGACACAGGTAGCTGCACACACAGCTGGGCACACAGCACATACACAGCACACTCGCACACATACAAACATTTCTTAAGTGCATGTAAAGGGCTGGGAATGTAGCTTGGTGGTACATTCTTATTTGCTTAGTATGTGAGGAAGAAAGGAAAGAAGGTAGGAATGGGAGGAAGGAAAGAAGGAAGGAAGGAAGGAAGAAGGGCATCTCAAACTAGTATGGTGGCACACTCTTTTAATACCAGGAATGTGGAACAAAAGGATTGCTATCAACTTGAGGCCAACCTAGAAACTACACAGGGAGTTCAAAGCCAGCCCGGGTTGCGTAGGGAGGACTAGCGCTTTCTTGACAAACAAACCCCAGAAAGAAAGCAACCTCTCCAGGTGACTGCACACACTTCTCGGATTGAAGGTGGAGTCCAGGAAGTCCCAGCTCTGGCTGTGTTGCCCTAGACTCCAGTAGAAACCTGCCTGCTCCTGTTGTGCCACTGAGGTGAAGGTGACGGCCGAGGGAGCTGGTGTGAACCTGAGGATCTGGTGCACACCTGGCACACACCTGGATGCAGGGCCCAGTGCTGAGCAGTGGCGGCGCCACCTCCAGAAAGAGCCGTACCCTCTGTCCGCCTCTCGTCTTTGACCCTCAGGCTTGTCCTGCTGAGTCTGCCCCCAGCTCCTTCCTTGTCCTGCTCCTCTATCCAGCCCTACCCACTGCAGGAGTCTCAAAGTGGGGTGCCCCTGTTTTTGCCCTAGTCTCTTACTGCTGCTCTTCATGCTGCAGTCAGATGGTTGTTTTTAAGCTGCTTCATATCTATCTATCTATCTATCTATCTATCTATCTATCTATCTATCTATCTATGTATCTATCTACCTATCTACACACACATATGTATAGAGATATTCATACACACGTATGTATATATCAAAGAATCTAAAGGTTTAAAGCTACATTGTAACATATAAATATACTTATATTATATGTTAATATATTATCTCAATATAAGTATACATTATGTAAAAAAAAAAAGTGAGCCGGGCATGGTGGCAGTAATTTTACAGGCTTAGAGAGCTGTGCTTGTTGCGAGCTCTGCCTGTTTGTCTGAGGCAGGGTCTCATGCAGTCCAGGATGGCTACCGAACTCTGAAAGTGACCGTGAACAGATTCTCCTGCCTCTCCAGTGCTGGGCTGACAAGCCAGTATGCCTTGCTTCTTGGTGGCATGTTTTCCTTCATATTCCCTACCCCACGTTTTTACATTGTGTGTGTGTGTGTGTGTGTGAGTGTGTGTGTGTGTGTGTGTGTAAAGTGTCATGACACACCTCTAGAAGTCAGGGGACAACTTTTGGGAGTATGTTTTCTCCTTCCACCATCTGAGTCTCAAGGACTGAATGGCGGCAAGTGCCATTCTACACACTGAGCCATCTTGCCAGCCCCCATGGCAATTCTAAGAGGCTCCCAGGGAACGTAGTTACCATTGCTCTTGTGCCATTTTGGGGGTGATAAAAACTTAGAGACAGTTGCCAGCTTCCTTCCTATGCCCTGCTTTATCTAGCCCTGTCCAGTTTCCCTAGGTCACCTCTGCCTGCTCTTTCCATCATGCTGAGGTGACCTGAGCCTTCCTTCTTTTACTGCAGTGTGTGGAGTTCTTGCCTTTGGGCCTTTGCACGTGATCCCCCCGCTTGGAGTGGCCCTTTCCTGGAGAACCCATGTGCATAGCTTCATTTCCTAAGTCGGATCTCTGCTCAGCCCAGTGTGGAGGCACACGCTTGTCATCCTCTCACTTGGGAGGCAGAGGCGGGAGGATCAGGAGACCACAGCCACGCTCTAGGCTATATAGTGAGTGTTGGATACAGGAGACTGTTCCTCAAAGGCAAAACAAAACTGACAAACCTCAGTTCTGTGGTTGGAGCGTACTTCCTTGGTCCTCCTTTACAGCACGCAACGCCCTCTGAATTCAGTTGAGTTACATATTGTTGACCTGTGTGTGTGCATTTAATTTGGATTTATTTTTACTCATGTTTATGCGTGTCCGTGTAAGTGTATGCATATGCCACATACGGTCAGGTGCCCAAGGATAGCAGCCAAGAGGTTGGCATTTGCTGCTGGTGCCACCGTGGTGGCATCGATGGGCATGAATGCCACAGGCCACAGGACAGCAAGGGGTCTTTGCCAGGGTTGAGGGTAAAATGGTCCCAAGAGTTGGAGAGATGTCTCGGGTGGTGAAGTGCCTGCCGCACCAGCCTAAGGACTTAAATTTGATGCACTAACACCCTTGTAAAATACAGGGCGGCAGCTGTGGTTCCCGGGGCTTGTTAGCCAGCGGGCCTAGTGGACCGGCAACCTCCAGGTTCAGTGAGAGACCTTACCTCGAAACAACAAGGCGGAGAGTGCCTGAGAAGTCTATCCCATCGACCCCCCGCACGGTGGCTTCTCAGTACATGCTATCCACACCAGCAGCACCAGGACCACCGAAGAACTCGCTAGAAATGCAGATTCTCAAGGCCCAGATCTATGGATCGGGGAACTACAGGCTCTGGGTCTATCATTGGAGGGCGAACAAGTCCTCCGCTTGATTGTGATGCTTGTTCAAGCTTGAAAAACCACCATTGCAGTGTTATTTCAGGGTAGTCATTTCTCTAATGCAGGGTCTGGAGTAGGGCTCTGGTAGCAGTCAGGGGATGTAGCTTCAACCCAGGGTCTGCTTCACACTGAGTGAGAAGAGCTGTATCATCATCATCCTTTGAGACAGGGTCTCACTATACAGCTTAGGCTGGCCTTAAGTGAGGAATCCTCCTGCCTCAGCCGGTGCTGGGATTATAGATATGAGCTACCACACCCAGCTGTATCGGTATTTCTTTTTGTTTAGTTCTCTGTGTAGCCTTGGTTGTCCTGGACTCACTTTGTAGACCAGGCTGGCCTCAAACTCACAGAGATCCGCCTGCCTCTGCTTCCCCAGAGTGCTGGGATTACAGGTATGTGCCACCATGCCCGGCTCACTTTTTTTTTTTTTTTAATTGCTAGAACATGTGAGTTAGACTGATTGGAGAGGAGAGTGAACAGGTGTGGTAAGGTTTAAACGCTGGATTAGGACGAACGGGGAAATATTGCTGTTTTGACCACTGACTGCTCAGGCCCAGATTCTCATTCAGAAAGCCGGAGTTTAGAAAGGACTAACATTTATATATGACCACACTTGCCAGGGGTTAATCTGGGTGGTGTACAACCATAACCTTTTAAGAGACCCTCTGGGATAGACGGCTAAGACAGCCCCATTTGATGTGACGGGGAAAACTGGGGCATCCGGGGGAAGCTTTTTGCCCAAGTTCGTACACCAGACAGTGGAGTGGTGGAAATCACATTTGAACCCAGGTTCTCTCTGCTCCAAAAGTCTTGGGAAGTGTTCAACAAATTAATATGGTGCCCACGTGTCATCTGGAGGGCATGGGACGCTGAATTTATTTCGTTGAGTAAATGGAACATGGAAGAAACTCCTTTCTCTTTGCCTATCCGTTAACTTTGGTATAGACAATTCAGGGTCAAGCCCTATGTGAACACAAGCACAACCAGAGTCAAGTGTTGGAAAGTTTAGATGAGGGTGAGTGTGTGCTGCTTTTTCTCTTCTTTCGATAGTTCTGGGGAATCAAACCCAGGGCCTTGTGTTTGCCAGGCAAGTGTTCTGCCGCTGAGTAACGCATTTCCATACATGGCAGCACCTAAGTCACACAAAAATTTTCGGACCCTCAATATCTCACATAACAGAGTTTATCTGGGTCTGAGCCATCAGCCCCTGTCCTACCCCATTCACCGGTCTTGGGAAGCTACTAATGAGTGCGCTTGCGTGTGTGAGAAGCGGGTGGTAGTGGGAGATGAGGGTAAAACCACTGAGGAGCATTGGGTTCCAGGCTTCCAAGACCACTACGCACGCGAATTGGAGCAGGCGCAGAGCAGCCCCTTCTTGGCGTTAGGCGGGGCCACAACGCGGGCGGGGCCCAAGGGCGCGGGCCAGAAGGCAGATGCGCAGCGCGGACTACAAGTCCCAGCATGCACCACGGACCCGATACGGCCCCCGCGCCCGCTTAAAGGCTCCAGCAACCGCAGCCGTCGGGTCGCGGAGGCTTTCGCTTTGGCGCCGCGTCTGGGCAGCGGGAGGAGCGGACTGAGCGGCAGGCTCTCGGGACTCCAGGCTTTGGCGGCGCCGAGGGGCGCTCCTATTGCAGCCTTCCCGGTTCGGAGCTTCTCTGCCGAGGCGCCCGTGCCCCCGGGCTGCTCGCCTCGGCCCCCATTGGCCCCGATGCCGAGGCATGGATAGAACGGCGTTGCGCGCGGCGGCGATGGGCGAGAAGAAGGAGGGCGGCGGCGGGGGCACCGCGGCGGCCGCGGACGGGGACGCAGGGGCTGCGGCCAGCCGGGCGCTGCAGCAGTGCGGCCAGCTGCAGAAGCTCATCGACATCTCCATCGGCAGCCTGCGCGGGCTGCGCACCAAGTGCTCGGTGTCCAACGACCTCACGCAGCAGGAGATCCGGACCCTAGAGGTAAGGAGACTCTGTGCCCGAGGTTTCGACCCGGCTGTGCCCTGGGAGCCGCCCCGCTGCCTTCCTTCCCGAGTTGCATCCTGCAGCCGGCTCTGCTGGCTGGAGAGTCTTCCTCCCTTGTCTGAGCTCGCTGATGCGGCGGCGTGAGGACCTACGACCAGGGCTCACCTTGGGAGGATTTGGGGGAGGGGGTGTTAGTGCGGGACTGGATCAATCGAAGACCAGCCTGCCGGGTAGGATGCGCGCGGGCATCCCACTGCAAAGCCCTTTCCGCCCTCACCCCATTTCCAGTGCTTACGGTAGTCATTGTCCCACTGAATCACGCGCTGGACTTTTCGTGGTGTGCTTAAGCCCGGTAGCGTGGGCTGGGGGTGATGGGGGGACGTCCCCTAGGTGTGAGCGTCGGCCGTTGGCACTCACTTTCCCTCGCTCTCCGCTCTCCTGTTGTCCCCTCCTTTCCTTTCCACCAGGTCTTGTCTGCCGCTTTTCAAAAAGTGTTTGCTGAAACAGCGTTTTTGCTGTTCGGGCGTTAGGGCGCTTTTCTTTGGCGATGTCACAGCGGTTCACTGATTAAAATGAAATTACCCACTGATTTCCCCACCCCACTTCACAAACACTGGGTTTTGACCTAGGAAGGATTATACTGGGGAAGGGAAACTCTGGTAAGAGCACGAACTTCAGGGGGTTGCTGACAGAGATGACCTGGAGTGCAATGAAGAAATAAGATGTGTGAGCTCTCTTCCCTCAAATTATAGCTGGGAAGTGCAGCATTAAAAGGATTTGGAAGAACCAGCCAGGAAGGTGGTTGGGATTTCAGAAGGGGGAGCTCCCCCACCCTTTACAAGTTGGAGGAAAACTAGTGCCTCTCTAACTTGCTTTTGTCCAGAGGCTGGAAGGCCTTTGAAAGTGCAGGCTTCAGTTAATAACCCTGTCCTGAAGAAGGGCCTTTCCCCACCTGGCCTTGCCACATCTGGTTCCTGTAGATCTGAGGATGTCTGTTTTGTTAGATATGTGATTACACACACACACACACACACACACACACACACACACACACACACACCACCGTTGCTAATTGCATCTGCCAGCTGTCATAGATTTAGCTGGTGATTGCTTTAATTATTACAAGACCAGTGCTCTGTCCTCTCCCACTACAAGCTGGAATCCTTGGCTGATCCGAAATGCCCTTAGTTGTATTTTCATAAAAGCTATGAAGCCAGGACGTTGGGAGACTCCAACCAGCGCTAGCTAGTATTGTTTTTTGTTACAGTTGCTATAGCAGGACTGAGCAGGGCTTTGCTTTAAAGACAAACCAACAAAGCCCTGCACCTGGCTTTTCTGCATCTGGATTTCTTGAAAACAGCTCAGTGTGTGCCCAGGAAAGTTCGCTTTTTAAGCTGATTCCTTTGGAGGTCCGTGTTTTCCTGGGTAGCTGTCCTGCAGTGCGTGTCTGTTGGGATGCTGTGTTGTTGGCATGGCGGGATGTCCTTTTGAGGTGCTCCTGGGTCCCAGGGTGTGTGGAGAATGGCTTACTCTTTATTCCCTGCAGTTTCTCTTTGTGCTCTGGTGTTGCACGTTTTCACAGAGTTGTGGAATCAGGATACCTCAGTGCTTCCACCTGTTCAGGCCTCTGAGCTGGCTAGGTCATCCCTGGTGGCTTTCGAAGGCCTGAGGGCCAGTTGCAGTGTGAACAGGACATGTGCCCTGTTCTTTTCAGTGTATTTGAAGGGTCCTCTGGTCCCTGAAAACACAAGACTTTGGGTGCCATTTCAAATGGGAATTTTGACCTTGGGGCTGGTTCCCTAGGATTTTTACCAGCTAGTTTGGGTGAATCACTCCATCCCTGGGGCCTCAGCTTCCCCATCTGCTCTGCAAGAGGTTGGAGTGGTTCCCTTCAGTCTGTTTCTGAAAAGCTCTGCATTCTGTGGTTTAGTGACGGGGGAGGCGGGGAATGACACGACAACACTGTTGGATTGAGTTAAGCATTTGTGTATGCTATTCTGTATAGCTAGTCCTATTTAAGAACAGCCCTAGAAACCAGATGTAGCGGGCAGATTGCTTGGGAGACGCCTTTATTACTGTGAGCATCTTGACCATAACAGTGTGAGGGGATGGAAGGCCCACACAGCTTTGTAATTGGTCCTGCTTCTGTCTAGATGACCTTGGAGCAAGCCTGATGCCTTTTACTCTCAAAATTCCACATCTGTCAAGTGGAAATGGAGTGCTTTCACCTGTAGTGTTTGATGGAGAACAAACGTTCTCTGGTTGGGGCCTGGTGACATTCATGTACAGGGCACCTGTAGAAGAAGTACATATAACTGATTTCCTGCAGGTGATGACACAGGGCAGGAGGCAGTCCCAGAAGGCTGCATCAGGGCAGCCCACCCCAGCAGCGTGTAGAAAGGCAAGGGCCGGTCTCAGTGTCCCCTTGAATTTTAATGTATTTGTGTGTGAGCTTGTGTGACCTTATGTGTACCACATGTGTGCAGGAGCCTGAGGAGGCCAGCAGAGGGCATCAGAAGCCCCGGAACTGGAGTTGCAGGTTGTTAGCTGCCATGTGGGTGCTGAGAAACGATCCTCTGGAAGAGCAGCAAATTTTCTTAACTGCTTGCTGAACCGTCTGACCAGCCCCAGATTTCTGGTACACACACACACACACACACACACACACACACACACACACACCAGAAATTATATATGTATGTGTAATATATATATATATATATAACCTTGAGACAGGTCTCATTATGTAGCCCTGGCTGAACTGAGCATACAGATGCATACAGATTAGCTGGTTTTGAACTATTCTCCTTTCTGTCTCCTGAGTGCGGGATTACAGGTGTCTGGCTGGAGAGCTTGGCTTATACAACTATATCAGACTTCTGGCAGATACTCACGAGGCCCAGCCCACTTTGGTCCTTTTTAGCTGAACTCTTGGTGGGAGTGGCAGCTCGCAGGATATCCCCTGTGGGACCCTGGCCAGGGGCAGCTGCTTGTGAAGATCCCAGGTCATGATGATACGCTCTCTGCTGATGGCTTTGCTCTGTGGACTTGGGTTGAAAGGGGAGTTAAATGGGTGGGGAGTATAAGTTGGTGGTAGAACAGTCGCCTTGTATACTGAAGGTCCTGTGTTCAGATCTCCAGTACTGCCAAGGCCCAGCAGTGTGCTGCCCTCTTCTCAGTCTCAGGATCTCTACCAACTTCATCGCATCCCTTTCCCTGTCTAAATGGAAAGGGCGGGGGTGGGCGGGGGAACGCAGCCAGAACTCAGTGAAGTTGCAGGGCTGTGGTCATATCAGTGAGAGGTCTCATTATGTAGCCCTGGCTGAACTCAGCATACAGCTGGTTTTGAACTCATGGCTATTCTCCTGTCTAACTCATGGCTAATACTACAAGAGACAAGCCCATTATCACTCTCCAGCTGTGCTCACGGAGGGACACCTGGCCTGCTGTATACAGCTAGGCCTGCTGGTCTCGGCTGTGGGTTCCATCCGTGTGTGCTGGGTAGACAGTGGAGTGCAAAGCAGATGCTTGCATTGCCTCATGCTCGTTCACTTTGTTGGCGCTGTAATCTGTTCTTTCTTTTCTTTTCTTTTCTTTTCTTTATTCTTTAAAGATTTATTTATTATTGTATATAGTATTCTGCCTGCATGTACACCTGCAGGCCAGAAGGGGGCAGAAGATCTCATTCTAGATGGTTGTGAGCCACCATGTGGTTGCTGGGAATTGAACTCAGGACCTTTGGAAGAACAGCCAGTGCTCTTAACTGCTGCACCATCTCTCCAGCCCAGTCTGTTCTTTCTTGCCAGTGTACTAGTGCCTTCCAGAAACAGGCTCCACCTTGGCTCAGGGTCTTGTACTGATTGTAGGGTATCTAAAGGACTTGGCTCATGAGGCCTTCCTGGAGAAAGGATAACAGAAACAGTCATGGGTGGTCTGCGCATGTGGCCACCTTCCTGAGCAGAGGCACCCTGGAGGCCTTGCTCTGCCTGGGAGGCAAAGAAGACTGACCCTCATCCAGGGGTCTGGACAGAGTTCGGAGGCTTCCTCATGGCCCTTGGAAGTGTCCCGTGGAACCTCCAAACGTGGTGGGATGTGTTCCCTGGCCAGGCCTTCCATCACTACTGATGTGTCTACTGCATCCTAGCTGGCGGCTAGCTACCTTGACTCCGGTGGGTGGGTACCGCCCTGGTCTTTGGGTATGAGGGTAATGCTCAGTCTAAAGGGGTCATTGGGTAGGTGAACAGCAGGGCCTCCACTACCATGGCTGGCAGAGAGCGCTTCAGCGCTTCAGGAATCCTGTAGAATCAGTCAGTCTGACCTACTGGTTCCATAGGAAACATTGCCAGAGTCTCAGTGACTGCTCTCAAGTCAGACTTCCCCGGAGAGACTGGACTGGTTCTCTTTTCCTAGCCCAGGTGTCTTGAGAGTGACATGTCTTGAGAGTGACATTTCTCTGCCCTGGTTTTAACCTTTTGTCTGAGAGACTCCAGTTATCACCGAAGGGACGTGGAACCGAGGGCCTGTGTCTTTTGGTGTCCACTCTCACCTTGTCAACTTTTACCCTGGACAGACCCACTTCCCAACCACCCCTCAGAGGAGGCCTAAGGAAGACATGCTATTTTGTGAAGGCTGTAAGCCAAGGAGGGCCGAGATGCTGGAGGGAAAGCCTTAGCACATCTGTTCCGAGGACCTGCAGGCCGGGGTTGCTGCCTGGGTAGAGATGGACCACCTCCTAGCTGGGCTCTTCCCGCTCTCAGACGCCTGGTGGCTCACGATCCTGGGAAGCAGCATTCCACTCTAGATGCTTCCCTGCCTGCACAAAGGTGCTGGCCTGTGGCGACACTCAACAGTGTGTCTGCAGACGTGTGGGAAGGTAACAGAGCCTTGGCTGAGTCCTTAAGCTCAGCTTTAATATTTTTTTTTTCATTACGTTTATTTATGGCATGCAGGTGGAGGTCAGAGCACAACTTTGCTGAGTAAGGTCTCTCCTACCTCGT